CTCTTTCTTATGAAGCAAAAAGTCCTAAACACTTAACCACCTTTTTTCCCATATAATTTTCCAGTTTCCAATCTTTTTTTCCCTCCTCATCAGGCACACAGAAAATTTCAACTCTAATTAGAACTGGTTCGTTTATCATGCAGCACTGTTAAAAAAAGAGACTTTGCTTGAATTGCCTGTTGTTGAATGTTATTTCCATTGAACTGAGTACACTTAGGACTGTGATGATTGCTCTCTGCATACTTTTTAGCCCTGAAAACAGAATGTGTATTACACGAATGCAGTTGACGTGGAAGTATTTTTATGTAAATGTTAACAGTCATCACAAAATACCCTGACAGCCACTGGGACTGCAATAGAATATTCAACTTTCCAGTATCCTCATTGCAGTTCGGAACCCACCCAGCCCTTTCCAGCTGTCAGACAATATTTGCATCTACAGAGAGTGTTTCTCTTGAAGTGCAAAGAAAGAGGTTGAAATGGAGGATTTTTGAGGGGACATCCCATCCCCTTAGTCCCTGGGTTGCTCAGGCTTCTTTATGGCTTTATTTAATAACAACACCAACAAACCTTGCATGTTAATTGCATTCTCAGTTATAATGTCATGATATTTGGACCTTTAGTTGAGGTTGTGCAGTCATCCCCATTCTTTCTCTCCAACTTTTTCAGGAGGAAGAAACCATGGAGATAGATAGAGTAAATATGGTTCTTGCATCAATTGAATCTGCTCTTTTAATTAGCACTGTCTTTGAGTATGCTTGCTGACAAAAGAGAGGATACTAGAACACAGTGTCTCTTTCATCCGCCTCTTGCTTTGTGAATTGCCACAGTTCATTTTTAACTAGGAGGTAGTTATGTTTTGGAGGTAAAGAAGTTAAGAAAACAAGACAATTAAGAAATTAATCACTTCTGTATTTATGTTGATGTCACTTCCCTATATATTTAATATGAATTCATACTTTCCAAGTGTTTGGAGTTTCAGTGGCATACCGTTAAAAAAGGCATTGTGTAGTATATTGTTGATTATTTAAAATTATAGGTATTTTAGCTTGAGCGTACTAACTAGGGAGTAAGCCCTCTCAGTGGCTGTGTTTAGTACGAGGTGTGTGTGTGTGTGTTTAAATCTAATATTAACATGTAACAATGACAATAAATTATATTATTATTTTAGTTTGAGCGTACTAACTAGGGAGTAAGCCCTCTCAGTGGCTGTGTTTAGTATGAGGTGTGTGTGTTTAAATCTAATATTAACATGTATTTCAGTCTACTGATAGAATAAGTCATTGCTGACAATTCCTTCCTTCTGAAAACAAATAAAATGGAAAATATGTGTATGAGTGAGAGAGGGAGGGAACTTGATGGAGCAAGATGAAAGAGGTTCTCAGATGTAAAGACACAATGCAAATTTGGAGATCAAAGTAGATGTGCTGTTAGTAACTTAATTGTTTCAGTGAAGTGACATGAACAGCAAAGGCTCATATGTCTAAATCTGATGTCCCCCTTTCCCTTAAAATGCACAGTTATATAAGTCTTACCTTTTTTGGGATGAAACAAATAGGTATTGTGAAACAAGACAATCTAGAGACTTCTTGTTGATATCTTTGTCTTGGGTAGAAAGTATGCTATTGCCTCCTTTAAGTATGCTATGTTGTATCTATGTATTAAGACAATTAGGGCCTCTCCATACCTTACATATGGCAATTCTAGCTGTGTCTCCAAGTGTACATTTGGCCAGAGTCATAACTAAGGCAGGGCAACTGGGCCTTTGACTTAGGCACTGAAATTTGGAGGATACAGAATTTTGCAACGCCTCTCTTCATATTTGATCCTGGAAGGATACACACCCATTTGCCCTGCGCATATGTGTTGTCTCCAGGTTCTCTTCCTTGGGCAGAAGGAAATACAGTACAAAATAGGTGGGCTCAGTGGAGCCAGTGCAACTGTCTTGTGTTTAGATCTTGCATTCCTTGCCAGTGCTTTGGACTTTGTGTATGTCGATCTCATGTGACCCATGGAGTAGGAAAGAGCTAGTTGCCAAAATTGCCAGTTTATAGCTCTGCATTTGACAAGGCACTCTAGCTAATTTTCATTTTGTGACAACTGTACTTGTCTGATAAATACACTTCCAATATGTGGGAATGTTTCAGTCATTGCTGCATTCTTTAAACACTCTTGTTATGGGCGGAGAAGCCTTTGAGCAGAAAGAGATTTGTTTGTGTGTTTTAAATGGGACTGTGTAGCTATTTTGCCTTTCTGGCTTGAAGGATATATTATACGTTCTGTGTTCATGATGGACCCTCTATTAAGAAATTACTCCCTACTGAGCCTCTTTGGAAACCAAATAATAGCAGTCAAATGTTAATCTTGCTGTAAGAGGTGACACTGTGTTGTAATTCTATGCATGTTTCCTCAGAAGTAACTTCCACTGTATTCAGTAGCCTCATTGTGTTTGGGACTGTGGCCCAAGAGTGTAACTTATAATCAGGGAATCCTTTGTTCACAACTTGATGCCATGAAAACTGTGTTCTCTTAGCTTCATCTTTGGTTGCTTCCCTTTTGAAATACTGTGAGTGTGCTGGCTGGAAGATTCTGGGAGTTGTAATCCACAAAAGTAACTTTCTGCTGGAAAATACAGATTTTTCATATTTGAGGGTAGTGGGAGTTAGTCTGTTGTTTTTTCCCCCCAGTTGTGTTAAGAGATAGCAGCCTGGGTTGCTGACACCACAGCATGGGACTTGGTCTCTTTGCTTCATTGGTGGAAACTGATTCCATCCATTGGCCAGAAGCAACTACTACTTTTGCTACAGCTAGATGGAGAATTTTACGGAGAGGGTCTCCTAAGGAATGTGGAGTTATGTGGTGAACTCCTTGCGTTATATCTGAAGGCTTACATTCTAGTCCTGGTTAAGATCATGTTTTATATGGTGCCAAGTCAGTGGTGCTTCACTCTTAGGCCATTATTGCTGATAGGCATCCTTTAGGCAGGTACCTTTGTTTATACAGTGTCTCAATTATTATTTGCTACAGCTAGGATAAATTTCTTTCTTTCTTTCTTTCTTTCTTTCTTTCTTTCTTTCTTTCTTTCTTTCTTTCTTTCTTTCTTTCTTTCTTTCTTTCTTTCTTTCTTTCTTTCTTTCTTTCTTTCTTTCTTCCTTCCTTCCTTCCTGTTAATTAGAATTCCAAGAATCCAACTGCCAGCTTGGCCAGTGGCTGTGCCAGGTGAGGAATTCTGGGAATGGTGCTCCAGAAAGTAACTTTTCCAAGCTGTGGTCTATATTGTACAGAAGGGGAGGAGATCAGATTTGATGCTGCAGAATATTTTGTTGTTGACAAATGGGAGGGGGGAACCTTAAACAGTGTGCTTGAAAGAATTCATGGTGATCTAAGGAATTCAAAGGAATCTGCCACCATTTAGTTTGGTTTCCTGAGTTCAGTTTTAGGGAGGTTTACTCAGAAATGAGTTGATGCCACTATGAAGAATGAAAAATGACATAAAATGGGACTGTTGAAATAAATGTAATTTGCTGTTGTCATTTCCTCCTCCTGAGCAAACAGTTCAGAGTAATTTCAACTTGTAGTTGTACTCAATATAAGTCAATATATCAATGATGTACAGAGAAATTACGTCCCTGTAGTTTCTTACAGACTGAGTTGGAAAGGTTTTTTAAAATGGTAGTTCTAAATGATTGGATTAGTAATTGTATCAGATACAGAATGTAATCACTGTGAGAATCAAATGGAACTTTAATGTTGTCTTTGCAAACATCAAGCCATTATTTTCAGCATTGCAAAGAAGTCTTTGTTAATTACTATGGAAATGATAATTGGCATTCCTACAAGGTACCATGCCTTGGTGATACTGTTTGTTGAATATTGGACATATTTATAATTGTTGGTGTATCATGTTAACAACAACAACAACAACAACAACAACAACAATAATAATAAAGTCATTGTGAGATTTGTAGCTCCTGAATGAGAGCAAAAAGTCCAACACCACCTTTGTTAGCTGTATTAGCAAAACAAATCAAAACTAAACAAAACTAAACAAATCAAAAACATAAGTGTTTTGTGCAAGAATCGTGTATTTTGCATTTAAAACCTTATATTTTACACCTTGTATTTTAAATGCAAAATATATTGTATCCTTCCATGTAAAATATATGATGTTCTGCAGGAAACATAAGGTTTTTTTAGTGCAGGAAACACACAATCATTTCTCAAAACAGTTGCAGAATATGAAAAATACACAGAAGCTCATAATCTCATGTGGCAGGGATCAAACTTCTGAAATTTTTTGTTCTCACCGGCAAGAATGAAATAAGTGAAGATTTACACCCCTAGTTGAGACTAGCAATTGGGCTGTAGCCAGTACAGTGGTGCCTCACAAGACAAATGCCTCACGGGACGAAAAACTCACAAGACGAATGGTTTTGGCAATGGGGTTGATGACTTGCAAGACAAATGTTCCTATGGCCGTGCTTCGCAAGACGAATGTTTTCCATTTTTTTGTTTGTTTGTTTTGGTTTAAATCTCAACTATTAATACCCAGAATGGATTGTGCATTGTGCCGAGAGGTTTAAAAAGCCTCCCCGATGCAGCCTTCGTTCACTTTTCCACGTGCAGTTCCAAGGTTGACTTTGAGAGGAGCAACTGTGGTCTGTGTTGTGGACGCATCCTGTCTTTGGAGAAATTGAAGGTTTTCAGAACTTTTTTGCCAGCAAAAGGTAGGGCATGTATTTATTCTCCCATGTTGGGGGGGGGGGGCTGTTATGCCAATTTTTTTTGTAAGTTGCAGAGGAAAGGTAGGGGGCTTAGCCTGTGTTGGGGGTTGTTGTGCCAATTTTATTTTTTATGTTGCACAGGAAAGGTAGGGGGCTTAGTTTGTGCTGGTGTGGGTTGTTATGCCACTTGTTTGTCTAGGGCGGTTTCGTCCAGGGGTCGAAAGGTGTGTGTGAATTACTGCCTTTTGTTTTTGTGAATGTAGCAGCTGTGCTGACATGGGTCCCAAGAAGGCTGCTTCTGCAGAGGCCGGGAAGATGACAAAGGAGAAGATTACTCTAAAGATGAAGAAGGAGATCATCAGGAAGCACGGCGGAGGCATGCAAGTGATAGACCTCGCCAGGGAGTACCGGAGGAATCCATCCACCATCAGTAGCATCCTTAAGATGAGGGAGAAGATCCTTGCAACAGAGGTAGCCAAGGAAGTCACCAGGATCGTAAAGAACCGGCCAGCTGTTCTGGAGGAGGTGGAGAAGTTGCTGCTCATCTGGATGGAAGAGAAGCAGCGTCCAGGGGACACAGTGACTGAGGCTGTCATTTGCGAGAAGGCCAAGGCCTTGTACGCAGACCTTGTGTAGCAGGAGCCAGGAACCTCAGCCATGCCAGAAGACTTCAAGGCAAGCAGAGGCTGGTTTGAACGCTTCAATACCAGATCTGACAACCACAGTGTGGTCAGGCATGGAGAGGCTGCTTCTGCGCCTGCACCAGAGTCAACAGTGATGGGCCTTGAGGTCCCAGTGACCACAGAGTCAACAGTGATGGGCCTCAAGGTCACAAAGGAGGACATCTGTGAACTGGTGGAGGGACACGACTGGGAGCTGGCCACCCAGGAGCTGGTCAAACTGCAGGCAGAGGCTACGGAGGAGCAGGCCTCTTTGGAAGAGGAAGAAGAGTCAGGTGAGGAACAGCTGTCCACCACTAAACTGAGGGAGCTCTTAGAACAGTGGCAAAAACATGCAGGCTCTAAGCACAGTGGTACCACCTGGACAAGGCTCTGGCACATGACCTTTCAAACACATATGATGAAAGGATCATGTCCCCTTTCAGAGGGATGCTGAAAAGGTGGCAGAAGCAGCTGACCATGGAGAGGTTCCTCACAAAGAGGCCAAGACAGGAAGAGGAGCCTGCTGCTTCTACCAGTGGTGCCCAGTTGCCTTCTTCCTGCTCCTCGTCCTCCTAGAAGCCTTGAGGTCAAGCTATAAAGCCTTCTCCCAATTGACCATCGTTTGGGCCATCGACAGAGAGACCCTTTGCAGCTCTGTGAACATAAAAGACTGCTGCTGTGATGTGGAGTCAGTTCTGTCTGCCTTCAGTTTCCTGACTTAAAACACTGGTCCTGGTGGTCTAGAGAGTTCAGCCTCACTTGTTCACTTTAAAATGTGAAATGTAAAAAGTTTCTGTACTGTTGGTTTCTGTATGTTTACATGCCTTGAGAATGCACTTTCTGAAGAGTTTTGCACA